AAATCCCATATATATATATATATATATATACAGTATATACACAGATAAATCCAGCAGACTGCACATATGACTGCTTGAACTGTTGATTTATTCCCTACTGCAATCTTTTTCTTGAAAAAAACAAAAAAATTACAACTGACCAACTGACCAATTACAACTGTTTCTTAAGTGTGGCATCTGTAAATCTTAGACAGCCCATGTGTTTGTAAAGAAGAAGAAGAAGAAGAAAGCGGACACAGCAGACATTGGCACTGTTACATCACAACCCATGACTTTGACGCTGCTGCATAAATCCAGTTCAACACAACAGAACGGATGTAAAATGATAGCAGCTCATGCTCAACCAGACTCTCTTGCCTCACAACATGAATTATAATAACACTTCAGGTCTAAAAGCTAAAAGCTGTTAAAGATAAAGAAAGTTGTACAGTGTGAAATACTTCTGAACTTTTAAGAGCTACTCTTTGACTCTTCAGCTGTTATGATTATGTGAGACAGGCTGATATTTTACTGATATACTCACTTTTCATTAATTCATGAATATAAAACAACAATATTACAGCATATTGCATGTTCTACACGAAACAATGGTGTTCACAGGCTTATTGAGTCAAAAAGCAGAAATAAAACAATGAAAAATGGATTCTGTATACACCTACACACAAACATAGTTGGCATTGGTCAGAAAAAAACAAGACTAATCAATATTAAAGATTGACAGATTATCAGTTTTTAAGCAAGTTACATTTTTCTAATTGATTATCATTTCGTTTTTAGAATACATAGAACATGGTGGCCTCTAAACAATAGACCCACTGTAATTCATGCCCAAGTTAAATGTGTAAGACATAGAATATATTGTTTTATTGGTTTATTATTATTTATTTGATTTATTTATTATTAACCATAATTAAACATATTATTTTTCCGAATAATGATCATTTAATAACTTAGCTATTATTGCTTCAATAATAAAAACTAGTTGTCCATATTTCCTAAATAGTCCGTAATAGTATAGGCTCTTGGACTTGAAAAACAACATAGGCTACAAGTGATCGACAATGTAGCCTAATTTGTAACAGAGAGAGATACAGAAGTACATTAAGAAGAAAGAGCAATGAGACCGTTAATCTTACCTCTTATCAAAAGGATGGACATCAGTGGAAGAACCAAATTTAAAAACATCACGGTCTTGTTGAAGATGAAATAAAGTCAAGACAGTGTGATGCGGTACGAGATTAAGAGAGAGCACAATCCTTCAGAGAACAATTCTCCAGGTTACCCATTTATTGAGTTGTGAGAGGAAAACTGAAGATGTTCAGAAGACCAATTGTTATTGAACTTGTCAGCCAGTTCGGATGGGCACCACGCGCTAGACCGAACCATTCAATACTCCGATCCTGTGGAGCAATTACGCATCAAGACGCACTTTGAACTGCGCGCGAGGGCAGCGGATCGAACATAAATCAGCTTAAGGCGCGAAGCACTGAGATTAAAGAAGAATGGACGACCGTATCAACATAAACCTGGGGTCTCTGTCCAGTTTCTGCCTAGACTACAGAGTGAACGGGTTTTGTTCGCTCAGTTGTTGCTATACCGCCCTGGAGTGGTTATCCTCATGCATGCGCCTTTGCCAAAGTCTCTTAAGCATCCCCTCTTTCGCGGAAACTAGTCTCATTAACTTTACCTAACAGCAAAACTTGGTATGTTTTGGAAACGTCAGTTAACGCAGACTTACACTGAATTCAAAATTGCGCTTAACTCGCATCTCTCGTGTGATTCGTCCGGTGATTAAGGACAATACGATTAATGGAGCACAATCCCAGGCGGAGCTCAAGTGTGCCGCAGCCATTCAAAGTAAACCAAAGTAAAGTTATTGTGAATAATTTATCGGTTTCAACAACATGGTATATTACTGATCAGCTATAAAATACGTGATATCGTCCAAAGTATTATTTATTTGTGGAGTATTTAGGATACACGTTTAAAAGGAATGTATTGTACGGCACGTGTCAAAAGTAAATGGTCCTACACCTCCATCTGGTGCTCATTGATGGACATGCAATTTCAGAACTGCAATGCAGTGTTCAATGCTCAAACAATCTTAGAATTATAAGGTTCTATCTCCGTTTAGGGTAGTTCTGAGAAATTGAGCATCAAAGTTTTTACATCCCAGCTGGAAAAACTGTTATGCAGTATAATATTCCATTAGCTTTATCTATTAATCTTTTTTATTTTTTTATTTTTATTTATTTTTTTACAAAAATAACACCACACAGGCATTAATAAACACCAAATGGATCAGATTATGTCAAAAACTCAATTTCGACCAAAAGTGGAGATAGAACCTTATAATTCTAAGCTCACGAATAATAAAAAAGAGAACTGGCTTTATGTGCTGTAATGTATAATGTGATATATTTTGATATTACTAAAAAACACTGCAATCAATAACACGAAAAATAAATTAAATCAAAAAGAAAAAAGGAATGATCAATTTAGCACAGATTACAATAACTTTTGACAAAATATTAATGCTAATCTCTGTTTACCCCTAGATAGCAAATTCATGCTGTATTTTGAAGCAGATTGGGCTGATCTGGAAGCTTTTTAAAATTAAAAGTTTTTAATTGGATGTTTTTTTGCTTTTAACATTTGCTTACAATAGTAGAGATCTAATGCCAAATTAGGTTATTCCTACTTACTATACTTTTAGATTTTTTATTTTTTTTATTAACATTTCTGTTATTGTGATTAATTTTGGTTATTAAATAAGCATTTTCATCTTAATTTCTATGGACTCCAAGCAAAAAATAAATTAATGAGCAACGTTTGTAAGGTACCGCTGAATTAATCTCTTCATTTGATGTGAAGGGCAGGTTGTCATGGCTTATTTTGAAATCCTTTCAAATGTAAAACATCCACCAGCATTGTTATCAGCTGAGGCAAATTAACAATTCAAAATAAAGCTGTGGAATTAATTCTCAACTTCAGCAATGAGCTATCGGTGCTTTTCAAAAAGCATACCTTGTCACTTAAGGAAACACTGGAGATGTCACTCTTTGAAAAAAAAAATCATTCATCCATATGGAAAGTAAAGCAACAATAAACACTGTCGTGTGTGATATTCACCTATCTAGAAACAACGTTTGTCTGAGGTGCATCAATCTTCTTCTGATTGACTGAAATCTTTGCGGTACTAAATATACCTGCATCCATCTTAGAAAATGATAATAAAAGCCTTTTTTCATGCTAATTTGTCCTCTAATTTAAATGCAAAAAGCAAGCAACAAATTATACAGTGTGGCACACCCACAGTGTTTACTGAAAATAGACTTCAAGAGGACCAAATGATTGACAGCTGTCAGGGAACAACAAATCTGATATGTTTACTTTGATTAGTACATTAGTAATGTTAAATAGTGTCTAAATAAAAAGCTCAAGTAAATAATTTTTATTTTTATGAATATGATTAATATGTATTATTCCTAAATACACCATGGATTGGGACACCTGACCATTACAATAACAGGGACTCTAATGATATTGCATTCTACAAAGACGAGTTGGTCTCCCCACGAAGGAGTTCCACAAGATTTTGTTTCTATGGAAAATGTATTTCCATTCATCCAATAAAGCATTTGTGAGGTCAGCCACTGATGTTGGATGAGACGGCCTGAGGTCAGGTCTCTGACTGTACAGGCCAAGTTGTTCAACACCAAACTTGTCCAACCATGTTTTTATGGACCTACATTTGTGAACTGGTGCCGTCATGCTGGAATAGAAAAGGGCCTTCCCGAAACTCTTCCCACGAAGTTGGAAGAATAGCATTGTGCAAAATTGTCTTGCAATGCTGAAGTATTAAGATTTCCCTTCACTGGAAGTTAGGGGCCTAGCCCAACCCTTGAAAAAAAAAAAAAAAAAAAAACTCACTCCATTGTCCCTCTACCTCCAGACTTTACAGTTGACACAATGCAGGTAGCGTCCTGGCATCTGTATTACCTGCTCTGTAATTGCTCTGTGTTGCTGCTTTTCCTAAATACTTCCACTTTCCAATAATTGACTGTGGAATATCTTGCTGGGATGAAATTTCACAAACTGACTTATTGTTATTGCAAAGGTGGTACCCTATCACAGTACCACAATTGAATTACAATTTAAAATAATTATATTGAAATAGAATTGTTATTTAAAGGGATGGTTCACTTTGAAATTATTTTTGGTATGTATTAGCTTACATCAAGGGCATCCAATATGCAGGTGTCTTTGTTTCCGCAGTAGTTTAAATTTTGATATGTTTAGGTCAAACCGTTCTTGTCTGTCAGTAATATAATGCAGGTCTATGGTCACCACCTCAAAGAGCATGCACAGAGAAGTCCAAATTAAACATGATGATTCAATGACTCGTAAATGTAAGTACACATTGATGGCCTAAGGCACGAAACGAGCGGTTTGTCTGAGAGAACAAACAGTATTTATATCGTTTTACCTCTTGCTTCGGTCTGCGCAAGCGCCGGAAGTGATCTGATTGAGCTTGACAGTCATTCATTTCGGTCTTTTGTCACGCATTCCACTCCCGTGCCGCTCTTAATATGGAACCGGAAGGAATCAAGCGCATCTCACCTGGAGTTTTTGGTTGAGCCTGCCACTTGTCAGCCAATCAAAAAAAAAGAAAAGAAGAAAAAAAAAAAAGGGGCTACACAATAGCCAATCAGAAAGTAGTTCTATTGTATCTGGGTAAGATTTAATGCTACAACCAATGAAAGAAATGTTATGTCAATGTCCCTCATGCCAAAACGTTTCGTATCGGTTACCTAATGTAACCTCGGTTCTTTCTAGAAGATGGAACGAATATTGCGTAAGCTAACTTACGCAATACGAGAGAACCTCTCATAAGAGAACTTGAGAGCCTTGGGAAACTCTGCATAACAGTTGGTAAAATAATAGTTGAAAAGCATTTTCTGGTTCTCTCAAAAGGGGGAGACAAACAGCTTTCCTTCTCTCCTCTCTCAGATCCTCTCTCCTTCTACTCCTTCCACTCTCTCCGCAGCTTTATGAACCACAGGAAAGGGTCACCTGCCAAAGCATCACAGACTGGGATTAAAACAGCACGCAGATAAAGTCTCTGAAAGGTAAATGTCTGGAAACTATTATGTCATGCCTGCTCTGACAACAAAATAATTATGTCTAATTATGTCCCAGGATTGTTTCCCAAAAAGATTTGGCCTGTGATTGAGAATTACACAGATATCAGTTTTAATGATATGAAAAATAAGGTATATTCTGTACTGTCAGACAAGTGTATGCCAAACTGTGTTGAACTGCACTGTTTTCTTTACATTAAATAAGGACATTGGGCTCATTAAGGTTGTCAGAAATCTTGATGATTATCTTGCTTTGGGTAGGTGAATAGATTTTTGTGGACATATCTCAAGTTTTTGTATGTTTTGGTCTGAAACATTGCGTTGGACAACACATGATGGGAGGGGCTGCTGCAGTCCACTGCAGTGCAGTGCTTCACGCTGTTGGGTGAAGTGCTTTCTAATGCAGCTAGGTGGAGCTACAGCACTATTGCTGTTCTCTGAAGAGCACAGTTTCATGGATGGTTTACATTGCTGACAACAAGACTTAACATTTTAAAATGCAGGATTGTTTAACAGTGTGCTTTCTTCCTTTTTTTCCCCTCAAGATTTCAGGCTAGATTCAATGGCTACTAAATATGGTCATCATGTTTAAATTATTCTGGGATATGTAACAGTTTTATGACTATCTACTCTCCTCTTTTCTACCTACAGAGCTTTGTTATGAACAGATTTAACTGTATGTTTGGATGGATTCTTCTTCTGGGAGGTAAGAGGATTATGAAGATGTTTTCCTAATTATGTTTTTCATATGAAACCATTTTATCATGAAAATATAACAGCTTATTCTCCTATTTTACGTTATATTCAACTGCTATTATTTCTCTAAGTTTAAATTAAACAAATTATTTGCTCAATGGCCCAAAACATTTGCCAGACATTTTCTTACATCACAAAAGAGGATTAATATATATATATATATATATATATATATATTTATTTTACATACATACATATGTATACTCTTTTTTTAATCCTCTTTTCAGACTTTTCGGCATTAGGTTTACAGACTCAATTTAGTTACAGTAAATAGAAATTAAATAGTGTCCAGGATGTTATAGGAGAACTGTTCATTTAAGTCAATATACTGCTGAACTCATTTACGATTTGTTTTACAAAGCATCATGCATTGCATATGGTAAATTTTTAAATAACGGGCCTCATAATTTCTCATCTTCAGCTCTGATGAGCCCAGTGTCGTGTCAGGATGAGGAGAGTGTAATTGCAGTATGCCGAGAGGAAGATAATGACCTCAGAGTGGACTGCCTTCTGGAGCCCAAACCCAACTACCACACAGACTATGAGTTCTCCATGTCCAAAGGCCAAAAGGAGACCATCATAAGCACTAACATCTCTGGAATCATGCCTGAGCCCAAGTTCAGGCACAACACATTTGTGACAGAGCTTGAACCATATGGATTTAGGCTGACCATTATGAGCTTCTCCATCACAGAGAATACAACTTTCATTTGTAAAGTGACCAAGATCCAGAAGACTCTATTTGTTGAATTAGGTACAACAACTGAGCTAAGATAAATGTGTACATAAAACTAGAATGAATATTTGCTCTGCTTAAACCTGAATTTGTCTTTGCCTTCTAGAGAGCATCCAGCCCTGCTCTGCCATCAGTGTGTTTCTGCTGGGTTACCCTTGGCTCAGTCTCCTGGTTCCTCTGTGCATCATACATCTATAAGAAGCCTTTTAAAACAGGCAGGGTGTACAAAAGTATTGTATTTCCAGACTCTAAATGTATTTCTATAGATTTTGCTGCAAATTTGAGTAGTTGTTAAAAATATTTTACAATCTAAATGCTCTGCCTTTACTGTAAAGTAACAGTTGCTGCCTCTATGATGGTATTTATTTACTTATGCCTTTTTACATGTCTAGCCAAAACACAACTGAAGACATGTGCGATGAGTTTTTAGGGTTCTTGACTATTAAGGGGTACCAGCATTGTTGATAATGTTATGTCAAGCAATTATACTGCTACTTAGAAAAGTTACAATTATAGTGCCATCAATGCTTTCAATAAAATGCACCACACAGTTATTGTTCATTAGTGTGTAGATAAATAAACAAATCCCATTACTTTTGGATTTATTATGGTTTTCCCAGCACATTTTCCTCTCAGTTCCCTTATAACATTGCTTAATGTTTGTGTAAAAGAAAAAAAGAATACATCCAATATTTTCAATTGTTTTAAGATGCTATCAATGTCGTCTTAGAAAATTCATCTTTAATTAAATCTATCACTGCTGTTACCACCCTCCCCTCATTCGTGAAACAAAATAAACCAATAAAATTAAGAATAAAAGTCTGGTTGTCTTTTATGATTTGCCTACTATGCCAAGATGTTAATAAATAGCCTACCATCAGCTTTATCTGGAGATAACTAAACAAGACAACAACACATTTGGAGAATGATCAACAAACGCCTCAAGTTCATCTATGAACGGGTTTAGCTTCAGGATTCCATATATGGACTGATTACTGTGAATGCTCAAAATGATTGACGGGCAAAAGCTAGGAGTCTCCAGAAACCTTCTGATTGGCTATACGCACAGCGTCTGACCCATGTTTAAAAACGTACATCTGTTGTTTCAGTATTTTTGAGGGACTGGAGTATGGTCATTTTATGCATGCATTCCATACATATCGTAATAATCATAATAATCACTGGTGATTGGTGTAGTAGCTGTGTTATGTTCAGTCTGTACATGAAACGAAAGTGAAAGCATGTGTTCGCGCGTCAGCTCAGCTCATGACGCAGTTGGCTAAGAAGACAAATGTAAGGAAGAGGATGTGGAATTAACTTTTTTAAATAGGGGTACGCAAAGCAAAAATCAGGTTGGTAAACTGTTTATGCTTTATGCAAAATAGCCGTGTAAGAGTTGGTCTTATACTCTTAGGTCTGTGTTTTTTTAAAACGGTGTCGAATATTCATTTTACCATACCGTCCTCCTTAGCGCCTACAGTATTGCTGCTAAATAAACGGATGGGGATACACTGTTAATCAAGTGAATTGTCAGCAATATATTTCTTTTTAACCCTTAAACAACACAGGCAAAGGGCAGGACTCTTCAACCTCTTGTAGGAGGCATGAGATAACTTTTCATCCAACTCTCTGTTTTCATTATCACAGTTGAGTCTGTTTGGAGTATGTGAGTCACATGACTTGGTTCACATTTTCTGTCCTTGGCTAAAGCTAACAATGTTACCCCAAATGAAATGATGTTTGTTTGTTTGTTTGTTTGTTTGTTTGTTTTTGCTGATAATTTTCCCCTCATGCCTGTTTAAGGGTTAATAAGAAAAAAATGTACTTACATGATGAAAATATACCAAATATAAATAATCATAGGTCTACCGTCTATCTTAGCGAACTGAACATATTTTGAAGGGTTATTTTAACATTTTACAATTTTGATTGTTTTTAAATTTGTGTAGGATCTGCAGTCTCAAAAAGGAGCATCCAAAGATCATTGCCGTCACATACTGTTGTGTAAGTGCCAAGATGCCAGTGGAATTCAGTGGATGGACGACGTACTGTGAGAAATCAAAGCACCTTAAACCAGGTCAAGAACCCAAAAAGAGCCATGGCTACATTATGTACCATGGGACACTCAAAACCAATGCCCCAGCTATTATATCATCAGGGTTTCGGCCCTCTGCTGGGGGAACTCTGGGTCCTGGAGTCTACTGTAGTAGGGACATTAACAAAGCAATGGGTTACCCAGCATGTGCTCCCAATGACAGAGTTGTGTTTAAGCTACGTGTAAGAGTGGGTAAAGTGAAAAGGTTTGACTTGCAAAGCCTGAACCAGGTGACATCGTGGCATCAGAATGGATATGATACGGCCTGGTTACCTGCTTCTGTTAATGGACGTGAGGAGGACTGTGTTTTCGACCCAAAGAGACTCACTGTGATTGGGATAGCCCATTGCACAGACTCCAGTGTTAAGAGTTCTCTGGAGAGTCTCATAAAGCAGAAAAGCCAATCGCAGGACCCTAAGGGGAAAGATCTGAAGCTGTGTAAAGGCTGTGAAATGCAAACAGAGGATAAACACACAATGGAGAAATGCTGGTCCTGCAAAGCATCCGTATGCCCCTTCATGAAGAATCATGTTTGCCGAAGGAAAGGGAAGTAACCTGATACACTTTAATTAAATATAATCTGTAAAGTGATTTTTAGCTTCGGGTATTAAAAACTTGTTATTATACTTGAGGTAACTTCTTTAAGTTTTTTTTTTTTTTTTCTCAAACCATTTTTTTCTCAAACCATGTTTTGTAACATGGTGTAATGTTTTGAGCACTTGAGGAGAGATAAATAAAGACACTTTCTATTAATACAATATGTAGTTTTTCCTCTTCTATTCTGCAGTTGCAATTATGCTGTGTCTTTGTAACAATATTGATTTACTGCTGAAATCTTGTATAGCAATTTTTTTAATATTGAGCATGTTTAGCAAAAACATGCTCAATATAGCATGTTTTTACTTTTTCTAAAATCCTAATTTACATATTGGTAATGAGAACATTTTTTTTTTCAATCTGACACATTGACTCTGCTATAATTAAAGCCAATACTGTAAACATGCTCAAGTCTTTCTGAAAGAATAAAAAAAAAAGACTTATTCATCACTAAAAACCTGTGAGAATCTGAACTGAAAAATAATAGCAGTACAAAGTATAAAAAACAGAAATTGTTTTCCTATCTTATCTCTTTTCTTGCTTGGCATTCTGTGAAGTTTCCTACCCAGCAAGATGCTATATTTACATGCAATATATGGTGTTTTAAAGGAAGGAATGAACTCTTTGGTTTGGGCCTTTGGTTTTATTAATAATTCCTCTTTTCAATAATTTTAATGACTGAATATCATAATTCATAAATTCTCTATACTCATTTATATGTGATCTAATAATTTTGGAAAGCCTTTCATGAATCATTTTTAATGTGTTTGCAATGTAAACTTGTATAAAACATGCATCTGCACATCATCACAATTTACAGTTTATGTATGGTGTTAGTAAGAAACACGGATCCTGACATATATGGCTTTCGCTTCTGCTTCCCTGCCACCTCTGTTGCAGATGAAAAATACATGTAAAGTACAGATCATTTACATGTAGCCAAAGTTGGCTTGGATTTACCATTTACCATCAAAGCCCTCAGGATTTCAATTTTAGGAAGAGAAGAGGAACAGTGTGAAATATGTGTCAATGTTATCATATATTGCCTAAAAAGCAAGTTTTATACTTTGTATTATTTTTTTTTTAATAGAAGGAAAAGTCTGACTTTTGCTTGCTGGCTAGATGAAAAAGATATTAAAAGTTAATGCTGGGTTCTCCTGAAATTTGCTCTGTGTTTTTATATTTCGGTTTTTGATACACATTTAAAGTCATATTTTTATTTATTAACTATAACAATGTTTAAAATAAAACATAACTCAAATATTTGTACATGAAGTGTTTGATTTATTCATACCTAGTAAAAGGTTGCTAATGTACAATATGATCATCATTTCACAGAACATGAGCAGATTAAATTTAACAGCTGGTATGACATTTTCAACAAATATTTCAGAATTCCAAACTTCATCGGAAAGCACACTTAATAACGCTCAGGGCAGACACCATACGGTCCTCGCATTTGTGGCTGGGGGCGTATTTCACCAATGACTGTGATTCGTTTTGGATCCCAAACACAGTCTTCCTCAAGACCACTTGGCACCATGCCACAGTTTGGAGGGCACCAGGCAGTATCATACCCATAACTATGCCAGGTTTTCTGCTTCGGATGACCTTGACGATCAATCTTTATCACTTTACCAACATTGACCTTCACTCTCAGAACTACTCTCTGGTTCTCAGGTAAGTCTAGTGGGTATCTGGAGGCCTTCTGTAGATCTCGGCTGAGGTAGACACCAGGCCCAAGCATCCCTTGAGAAGATTGTTTGAAGCCAGAGAATTTGATTTTTTCAGCAGCCTCCCTTGTTGTGCCATGGTACATTCTGTAGACTTTACCCTCATCTGGTTGTTTGAGACTCTCAAGACATGGTGGAGCACCTGCAACCAAGTCATCTTCAGCCCACATGTTTGCACCTGGACAAATCAAATCTCAAACAATTTAATAGAAGCTCTTTTAAGAGAATAATTTTGCCAGATCACTATCAAACAGACTTACAAGTTGAGAATTTTTTTTTTTTTTGGCTTTATAAACACGATCAAAAAATCTCCAAATAGATTTTCACAAAAAAAGTGGTGCCTTACCTCTGATGTATAGCTTCTGATGCTAATAACTTACTTCTGAGAGCAGGTAGGCCTATAAATACACATCTTTCAGGGTGTGTCCGTGACGAAATGTTCAGTTCTGGTTTAGTAGCTTCAGTTTAAATCATCTTAACATTTTTTACTGATTGAAATAACACTTATGTATTATATTTCTGAAGTGTTGATTTTAAAGAGAAAAAGATTAAGATTGTACAATTATAAATTGTTTGGTAAACCAATTGCCTTTTTTTAAGCAAAGATACATTTAATTCTTGCAAAATAAGCCCAATATATTGATAAGTCTGAAGTACAGGATAAAATGTGGCCTTTGTCAAACTGTTATAAAACAAGCTAGTATAAAATGATCTGCTTATGAATCATGCTTAATTGGAATTAAAATGAAAACTATACATTTTCCCCCATTTTTGTTTTAAACAAAGTTAAGTTTCATTTTTGCTATAGAGGACTGATTTCCTGTAAATGCCCCACCTATTCAAAAATTATTTATGCACCTGTGACAGATGTCTGAACAACACAGGTTAACCTGTTAACTGTCACCCCCCTTTTTTGAATAGACATGAAAATGCACATTTCGAACTTAAATGGTTGTAATTCAAGAATGCTTTGGAATATAGACATATGATTGGTCTTGTTTTAAAGAAGACATTTGGCAGATTTTTGTAGAAGTGAAAAAAATTAAGAAAGTGAAACAGAAAAAAAGTTATAGAAGTTTAAGTTTATGGAATTGTACAATGTAAAAATATTAATTATTCATATTTTACATAAAATATATATTTTCAAAACCTGGGCTACTCTAAAATGGCAGAAAGATCAAAGCCAAAAATCTGAACAAGTTGTGTTTCAAATTTTAGGTTGATATCTCAAAAAATGAGCTTTCAGTAAGATTTTGTTTGAGCGCAGTACCAAACTTTTTCACTAGGGCACAATCAGACTCCATTACTGCCCATATAAGGGCGCCTGCATTTCCATTCGTGTTTTGAGTGATATGAACCATTATTTTCACAATTTTCATACAATTTCTGAAGTAGAGATCCTATTCAGAAGTAGCATGGGAAGTTTGGCAGATTTTGATATGAATTGAACCTCTAAGAAACACATACAAAGAACACGCATGTAAGTCATAGCTAGCTGCCACGTCACAAATGGTGAATTTATTATTTTTTTCTTGATATTTCAAACTTTTCAGACCTTTTTTTCCAAAATAATTGAATGGATTCTATCTTTTGAACTTTTGGCATGAAAACAAACTGAGGTATCTACCATTTTTTCCTGATTTTTCATGTTTACTGCTATTTTAAAATAAAGGTCTGAACACGCCTTATGAGTATGAAAATATTCTTGTTTTATATTGATAAATTATGGCTCCTCTGTAATATATTTTGAAAATCAGTCACCAAATATGGAAACTAGAGATTGTAAGCTTTCAAATGATATATAGTTTGTCAATATTATTTAAGGTATTTACTAAGATATTATTGTTTTAAAAATATAGTGGCAAACGTCCCACCTGTGGGACGGTGACAGTTAAGTGGGAAACAATGAATACAACCGATCGGATGTGCTCACACTGCAGAGCAACCTATTACTTTAAATATGTACATTTATTTGAGGTCAAACAAGAAAAATGTATTAGAAAAGGGTGAATATCACTATTCCAAAGTTAGAAACTCTCTCCATTCCAGTAAATACCATATATTTTACAGGATATTTCATATTCAAACACATGTAGGCTGACCATTAACCACCAGTTTTGAATAAATACCTCTAACACTGTTTGCCATTAACTTTTTAGAACTTACTTATCAAGTTTACACTCTCTCATCCTGCCTTGCATTTTTGTTCCCAGAATATGAACATTTTCATGTCAATAGAATATACATGAGATTAAACAAAAAGATGGATGGTGTTATAGTAGTTATTATAGTTATGTGTCACGTGGGCTTAGGGTGGTTGTAATGAGTGCACGACGCAGGAAATCAACAGTCTTTAATGATTAATCCTGAAAGGTGCAGGAGATCACAAGGGAAACCACATTGTACAAGCACATTATACTAAGACATTAATGACGCTGAACATTTAACGGAGGAAACTAAGGGTTTACATACACAGACAGAGTAATCAACAGAACAGGGTCATTTATTATTATTGTTTTAATTATATTCTTCTTTAAAATGTTCAATGATCATGATCGACACCATATAGACAGGTCCTCTAGTTTAATAGGTGTCAGTGTTGGTAGTTCTCCCACCACACACATGTAACCCATAAGTGTATCAGTAAATACACCAAGTGACCATTACACGTTTTAATATGGCAGTTTACTGGTTTCAGAGACATTAAATTTTGCTTGCTTTTATGTTAATTCCTTATAAAGATGTTTGCATTCTATGTTCTTGGAAACTTAATGTTTGAATCTAACCACAAACAAACAAACAAGAGAATCTCGTACAATATTGATAAGTCTGAAGTTGGCACCCCTTTGTCAAACTTCCATAAAAACAAGCAGGAACTTTATAAAATACTTAAACTGCTAAGTGAATATTTTTCATTAATTCATGCAATGAAATAATATATTCAATATTTATATATTTTTATTGTTTTGTTTTAGATTACGTTTAATTAATAGTGCAGTGGAAAAAATAACAAGCCTATATAATTTACCCCATTTTTTTCCATTTCTGCTAAACCGTTTAAGTTTTGTTTTTGATTTACAGGACTGTTTCCCTGGAAATCCGTCACTTAATCAGGAAATAGCAATGACAGTTGTTTCAACAAACCAGTTTAAAGATCAACGCATGAAATTATTTACTTTCATTTGAAGTAAAGCAAGAAAAGTATCTGTGACCAATCACAGTTTCCATGGTAGAAACTTGCTCCACCAGTAAAATATACAAGATTCAATAGTGTATTTTGAAGATTAAGCACATTGTTTTTGTGAAGGATAGTGCTTTAAAGGGATACTCCACTCTTTTTTGGAATTAGGCTTTACAACTCCCCCAGAGTTAAACAGTTTTACCGTTTTCTAATGCATTCAGTCGATTTTCTGACATTTAGAAAAATATCAGGAACCCGACAGTTTCTGGTCTCATTGACTTCCATAGTAGGAAAAAAAAAATACTATGGAAGTCAATGAGACCAGAAACTGTCGGGTTCCTGATATTCTTCTAAATATCAGAAAATCGGCTGAATACATTAGAAAACGGTAAAACTGTTTAACTCTGGGGGAGTTGTAAAATGAGCCTATTTCCAAAAAAAGTGGAGTATCCCTTTAAAGTCTGTTGAATCATTTGTTAAAAGTTTGTTGTACCCCCCTTCTACATCCAAAAGCAGAGAGTTGTTCTGATTCTCCAAGCCCAATATTTTGAAAAGTCTGAAATAAAACAGGGTTTTGATTTGTGTCCAGCATGTTAAAGGTTTTGACCTTTATGAAAATTATAATAGCAGTAATCTTTGGTTATTCTTTTGGGCAAAGAATGGACTTGGGTCGGAGGTTTCAATTGTTTACTGAAAGTTGCACAATCAAAAGAAACAAAACAAACTCTGGTCAAAAACAGTTTCATTCTTAAAGGAAACACCAATTCTTAAAGACACTTATAGGCAGTCCAAAAACAGAGCAAACCATTACAGAGTAAACCGGGGTGCTCAACGAGTGCACGTAAATAACATTTACAATCAAACGAGACATTTTGAGTATCAAAAAGATTATTTAAAATTATTGAAAAGCATCAGAGAAGTGCATGAATCATGTTCAGTTTATATGTATTTGTATATCTTTAGGGTAAGAACAATGGGGGATTAGTGATGTGATGATTTCACATACTTTATATTCACATATTTTAAGTTAATACTGCCCGATGGTTTCTATAAAGTAACAGTTATTTTGATAACATAACAGCATTTTTAAATTGACTCTCAAGAGTAATTTTTAATAATCATCCTAAACATCACACACTGTTCACATTGCACTGATTCTTAAGTAGTAAAGCAGACTGCAAAACATAAAATTAAACATAGTTTATTTGTCAAGGAATTATTTTGGATTAACCTGTTAAATGCATTCAAAGTGCGTGTTTTTCCACTTAGTACGAGACAACACCATCTGAAACATAAGATACATAAAATATGGTTCTATGAGAACAGACCAGATCTGCTCATTGATCTTTGCAGAAATATACAATTTTTTTTTAAAGTTTTGCCTTTGAGGCATACTCATATCAAAACAGAAAAGAAAAATGTCATTCTCATGCATCTCTGTGAATACGTGGTGTCTGCAGATAATAGTTTCCGTGAACAAGCAAACAAATGCAAAGGTGTGCTCATCCTGTGTGCCTGAAGATACACAAAAACAACAGGGATAACGGACGATTATTCTTTGAAGAATAAAAAAACACTTTGGCAAGACAGTCCTGAAGGTTTATGTGAGTATTTCGATTAGGATCAGTAACAAAAAGAACACACATGGTAAAACAACTTCTAAAAATGGGTACATCATTTCAATGACCTGAATCCGCTGTGGGTCCCACACACAGTCTTCTTCAAGACCACTTGGCACCATGCCACATTTTGGAGGGCACCAGGCAGTGTCATACCCATCATCATGCCAGGTTTTCTGCCGTGGATGACCTTGACGATCGATCTTCTTCACTTTCCCAACACTGACTTTCACTTTCAGAACCACTCTCTGGTATGCCATTAGATTCATAGGATACCTGCAGGCCTTCTGTAGATCTCGGCTGAGGTAGACACCACGTCCCAGCATGCCATCATCAGACTGACGAAATCCCTCTTTTCTAATTTTCTTTGCAGCCTCCATGGATGTGCCATGATACATTGTGTAGACTTGACCTGATCTTGGATCTGTGTTGCCTTGGAGGAAAGTTGAACCATTTTCACCCCACATGTTTGCACCTGGACAAATAACAAAATATGCATAGAAAAAAGATGCCTACTGGAACACAACTTTAATAAAAATAAAATTACGTTGAAAAGTATGTATAATCTATCTTTTATAGAGAAATTCCACTTACCAATCGTCGAATTCAAGCTATTTGCTCCCAGGAAATGCCTGGCCCAGCCCCTGTTTATGGTAGCCCTCTGTTTATGGTCTGCTACTTGAGCAAACTGTTAGAACGTAGACCAGTTATTAAAACATTACAATATAGTTAACATTAAACAGTGTAGTTGAATGCATACACAAGAATACGGGCACTTTTCAAACGATAGGCTAGCCCCCCTTTCTGAAAGCCTAAAAATAAAAGAACTCACCCTAAACGCATATGGGGGGCGATCTCCATGTCCCTCTCTATTCTACTTTCACTTTCCTAGTTTCCTAGCCATCCACGTTGATAATCGTCACACACTTTCAGGTGACGTCGCCACTCCACTGCAGCCAATCAGACCAGAACCATTATGATAAAAAAAAGTGCCTCTTTGACGATATTAGTGTTCTTCTATGGGAAGCCAAACATACCGAAAGTGTTCAGTGTTGTGTTATTGGACTGGATAGGCTGGCCCGGATATACAACATTTTCCGCGTCGCTCATAGACAGAAGTTCCGTCTCACGCACAGCGCGAGCTGTCTCCTACTCATTCGGCGAGTGCGCACTATCTAGTTTTTGTCCAACATAAATTCATACATTTTAAATATATTAATAAATTCGACTTCCAGGCAAAAGACATATGGAACACACCTGACAAGAAAACAACACTATTGTTTTTATTATTTATTTATTTATTTATTATTATTTTTTAATCCTTTAGGATAGTCCCATTGAGATAAAAAATATCTTCTTCCAGGGAGTCCTGGCCAAAATGGCAGCACAAAAAAAGTTATATATATTACAGACATAAAACTCAATCTTACATACAATTACCCAACACTCAAAAGTTAGGCCTGCTTTACTAAACATGCACACGTTTCTTTTAAATTGGTCAATAAAATATTTTTAAAAACTTTTAAAGGGGCGAGAGTTTTTATCCCTCTGCAGCTTATTCCATAACCAGGGAGCATATAGGAAGAAAAGGCAGTTTTACCAAGCTCTGAACGTAGGCTACTTTAGGAATCTTTAAAAGCAGTTTTGCTCGATAGATCTAGATCTTATTATGCCTTTATTTAGATTTTATGGCATTAACATATTTTTTAACAAAACCATTCTGCATTTTGATTTTACATTGATTCAGAAATACACTAATAAATCCTCACTTTTCTGAGCGTGTTTGTTTTTAGCAATGAAAGTAGAGATAAACAAGTATGTAAGCCGATATATGACAAAACAAGGCAACAAAAATGTGTTTAAAGAAGGCATATTTTTAATTAATTTCATCTCTTCAGCACCAGAAAATTTTGTAAGACATCAGAGCACTGTATAATGATAAAATTCTCAATAAAACACAATATTTTAGGATAAAATATTGCTAATTTCATCACATAGTCCTTAGATTGGACGAATGACATCGATGACCGTGATTCGTCTTGGATCCCAAACACAGTCTTTCTCAAGGTCACTTGGCACCATCCCACATTTTGGAGGGCACCAGGCAGTGTCGTAGCCATTATCATGCCAGGTTTTCTGCATTGGATGACGTTGATGATCAATCTTCTTCACTCTCCCAACATCAACCTTCACTCTCAGAACGCTTCTCTGATGCATAGGTAGATGCGTAGGGACATTAAAGGCCTTTTCTACATCTCGGCTGAGGTAAACTCCACGTCCAAGTGTGCCGTTAGACTGGTAAAAACCATTTGCTTTGATTTTTTCTGCATCCTCTTTAGAAGTGCCATAAAACATTGTGTAGGTTTTGCCTTCAACTGGATCAGCTGAAATAGTGTTTTGAAGGCTTGGTGGAATTACATCAATAACAGTGATTCGCTTGGGATCCCAAACACAGTCTTCCTCAAGACCACTTGGCACCATGCCACATTTTGGAGGGCACCAGGCAGTGTCGTAGCCATTATCATGCCAGGTTTTCTGCATTGGATGACTTTTCTGATTAATCTTCTTCACTCTCCCAACATCAACCTTCACTCTTATAACAACTCTCTCATGTGGCGATTCAAGCGGGTATCTGCTGGCCTTGTTAAGATCTCGGCTGAGGTAGACGCCACGTCCCAGCATTCCATCTTGAGATTGCTGAAAGCCATTGACTTTGATCTCTTCTGCTGCTCTTTCAGTAGTCCCGTGATACATTCGGTATATTTTACCACTCACAGGCTCTGTATTTGTTTGGAGACATGGCACACCTGGATACAAGTCACTCTCTGTCCACATGTTTAAGGCTGAAGACAAAAAATTAGCATATAAAGACAAAAAAATAACCAGTCAGTTTTTAAGTTAGGATAGAGAACAGCAGAAAGAAGGAAGTCATCAAGGAGAAATATGTTTGTTTTTTGTACATTTTGTATGATATTACAACATTTATCTAAAGGATCACATTCATGATAGCCTATATGTTATCTTTGTAATGAAAAAATTTCTTTATGAAAAGTCTTTTCCCTCTGTAACATAAACTTCATTTGACTATGCACTTCATTTGACTCTGACAGCCAGTCAATTTATGCATACACTTTCTAAGTGCCATATGAGTAAATTAATTGAATGTGCTTGTATTTGAGGCACAATTCGTGTTTTGAAAATAAGTAAGATATCCTTGTAAAGAACATTATCAGTCTTGAGAAGATCCTTGGAGATGGGGTTTAAAGTACAGGTACAGATATGACTCAAGTGTGGACAGAACAGTCATGCAATGATTTATTAAAAGTCAAAACCAATCAAAGTCCAATAAGACTGAGGCTAATCAATGACAAGCAATGATACTATTTAGCAGGCAAAAATCTTAATGCAGAAAATGGCAGAGAAAACTGGGATATGAATAACAGGCATGAGGAAAGCTCAGGAAAGAAATGGGCAAAGAACTGTAGAATTATACCGTGCTATTAAAAGCATTTTTTTTTATTTCACTAGATAATATTAGACATTTTCGATAACATTAGTATTACAGTATACAATCATGAGGGATTTTTTAGGCTTCATAATGACCATTAAACCCAGACAAAGTGGTGCCTTACCAGATGTCGCTTCTAAGGCTGATCGTTCGTTCTGAAAGCAGGAATGGTATATCTTTCAGGGTGTGTCCATTACGGGAAATGCTCCACTGAGTTTCAGTTTCTTTTCATCTGTGTAAACTTATGGATTTACAACGTCCAAAATCCAAGAGACTCTCAGACAACACATTGATAATTTTAAAGCATGATGTAACCTTTGAAAAAACTGCACTGATCTCAGTTTTACCTGAACTTTATAAAATACTTAATAAATTGCTGGACTGCTTATAACTCCTCAATAAAGCAGCCTTGGTGAGCAGAAGGGACTTCATTTAAAAGCATAAAAATCTTACTGATCTAAATGGGCCATTGCATGGACTGCTGAATGATTTGAAATTTCTAATTAATTTCACAGGCCTATATGTTTCATATTTATATATGATATTGCAATTTATTTATTTAAGATTACATGTTTTATTACTATTGCAATAAAAATGAGAACTCTATTTTACCCCATTTTCCTCATTTAAGCTTCATTTCTGATTTACAGGACTGTATGCATGTAAGTGCAAGTGCAAAACAAGTTGCAATTATCAATGCAGTGCATGATTCATTTGATATGAAATCGTTTATTCTTAAAAGTCATGAAAATGTAGCAGTACATTTGCAATTTCTACCTGTTTTATGTTGTTGTTGTTCGTTCTTTTTAAAAATAACAACCACATTACACATTTGGGTGAATTACACTAATGATCTGAATCCGCTGTGGATCCCAAACACAGTCTTCTTCAAGACCACTTGGCACCATGCCACATTTTGGGGGGCACCAGGCAGTGTCATACCCATGATCATGCCAGGTTTTCTGCATTGGATGACGTTGATAATCGATCTTCTTCACTCTCCCAACATCGACCTTCACTCTGATAACAACTCTCTCATGTTCAGGCAAATGAAGAGGGTATCTGCTGGCCTTGTTAAGATCTCGGCTGAGGTAGACGCCACGTCCCAGCATTCCATCTTGAGATTGCTGAAAGCCCCGACTCAAGATCTGCTTTGCAGCATTTCGAGAGGTCCCGTGATACATTCGGTAAATTTTACCACTCACAGGCTCAGAGTAGCTTTCGAGACACGGCACACCGGGATACAAGTCATCCTCTTCCCACATGTTTAAATCTAGACAAACCAAACAAAATTGTTTATCATGCTATTCAATAAAGAGGTGCTGGTGAAGGTTTTAATTTTGAGGTTGTTGTTTAGTTTTGAAATCAGAGATAGGTTTTGCTGTAAAGTTTAAAGGATGCTTACCTCTTGGATGACAAATTCAGAGTGTGCACAAAGCTGCAAGAGGTGAAGCCACACCTTCAACAAGTTGGAAACCCCCAAACTAAGTTTCGTTTCTTTCTGATAAAAAGGATAATCAGAAACACCTGTCAGAGACCAGCAAAAGGTTTTGTTTTGAATTTCACAATTCACAATTTCTTTGTGCCCCTTATTGTCATTGTCTTAACTGACGTCTTTAAAATCACTTTCACATTATTTTGTACAGTTAACTATAATGGCTTTACCGCCATAAGATAACAGCTGCTCTTAAATAAAATATTTTAATGCACAAGTTGGGCTCTGGAATCCACTGCCGCTTCATTGTTCATCTAATGTGTGATTACAAATAATCAAGGTATTAGTCAATAATTTTCCTTTTACATATTAATTGATGTGACTGACTTCTAGCTTATGAGATTAATGTAGTTAAATAACAATGTCTCTTTAATGGAATGTCCTCTCTCAATGTTTTTGAGAGAGGGACCCAACATGTGTTCACATATAGCTGACCAAGACAGCCAGGTCACTGGGGTTATTTTTACCACATGACTTCTTACATTAAAGCATTAAATTAAACTTTTCTAAATTGAAATACTAGATTAATAATGGAATACTGTCTGAACCTCTCACTGAGAGAAATAACATCTAAATGTTTTGGGAAACTTTCCTGTTTAGAACAGAGCTCAAATAACTCCAATTTTCAAGAATCTGTGTATGTGTGTTATTCTTTGTTACAGACATGTTTTCTTCAACATGCTGGCGCAGACACACGTCTCTTGACCTCGGAGGACCACTCGTATACCTAACTCAAGGTCCTGGTGTCAGCCGTATAGACTATGGAGATGTGTTACTGCCAGTCCATGTGTGGAAATTTCCGATGTTTATCTATTTCTTAGCCAGTCAGAATCATTTAAACTGAAGTAATGATGTGTAGAGGCATTATTGCTGTGATTTTTGTGAATAAAGCAGGACGGCCTACAAACTCCTTGTGAGTCTTGAAGCTGACTTCTGCCTGATGAAACTGCAAATTATCTTCAGTAAAAATGGTCTTCAATTTATTATAGCTAATTCTGACTATTGTCTTCAATTGACTGCACTTCTAACTCCTGGTCTTCATTCATCATATCTGGTCCTTGTGCCTTTAACTGTAAATTTAAAAGTTCAAAGAAATAAAAATGAATTAGTGTATTGGAATGTTTGTCTTGCCAATGAGAGACTGCATGCAGATCAGAGAAAGTGATTTATTTTGTCAAGACATTTCCTGTAAAATATCCTCTGCATGGATGAGGTCTTGTCACGTGCATCTTCCAAACTGTAACTTTCTGTAAAAAGTTTTGAGGCATACTCATATCAAAACAGAAAAGAAAAATGTCATTCTCATGCATCTTGTAGAGTGTCTGCAGATAATAGTTAACCAGGGTGTATGTGCTCATACAGTGTGACAGAAGATACACAAAAACAACAGTGATAACGGAAAATTATTCTTTGAATGATAAAAACACTTTGGCAAGACAGGCCTTAAGGTTTATGTGAGCATTCCGATTAGGATTAGGATCAGTAACAAAAAGAATATACATGGTAAAACATCTTCTAAAAATGGGTTTCTCATTTTTGGAGGGCACCAGGCAGTGTCATACCCATTCTCATGCCAGGTTTTCTGCATTGGATGACGTTGACGATCGATCTTCTTCACTTTCCCAACATTGACCTTGACTCTAATGACAACTCTCTCATGTTCGGGCAAATGAAGAGGGTATCTGCTGGCCTTGTTAAGATCTCGGCTGAGGTAGACACCACGTCCCAGCATTCCATCTTGAGATTGCTGAAAGCCCCGACTCAAGACCTGCTTTGCAGTATCTTGAGAGGTCCCGTGATACATTTGGTATATTTGACCACTCACAGGCTCAGAGTAGCTTTCGAGACACGGCACACCGGGATATGAGTCATTCTCTTCCTGCATGTTTAAATCTAGATAAACCAAACAAAATTGTTTAACATGCTGTTTAATAAAGAGGTGCTGGTGAAGGTTTTAATTTCGATGTTGTTGTTTAGTTTTGAAATCTAAGTTTAAAGAATGCTTACCTCTTGGATGACAAATTCAGAGTGTGCACAAAGCTGCACGAGGTGGATAATATCTTGAAGCCACACCTTCAAGTTGGAAACCCCCAAACTAAGTTTAGTTTCTTTTTGAAAATATGAAGCAAACTGCGATGTTTGCTGGGATGTCTGGGATGTCGGATGTCAAGCTGGTATGTTTTCAGTAAGGTCTAAATATATATTGAATGTCAGTTTTTTGTCAAAATTGTTTTTTTTTTTATTAAATTATTATTCTATAACATCTTGTTTATCATCTCTGAATATATCTTGGGAAAATTCACTAGTTTAGTGCAGAAAAATAGCGATTTATAATGGCCAGCTGAAAAGACTAGGTGTTTCTCTTTGAAGGGTCACTCCGCCTCTGGAAAGATGAATGTGTATTTAAAATGGGTGTTTTATGTAGAAGAAATGTGAAATTATTTTTAAATTTGGAGCTTTCTATACAGAGAAAAGCCAGAAAATGTGTTTTTGGCTTATGTGGATGAAAGACAACAACTCCCAGAATGCACTTGCTTCGCTGCCCTAGGAGGCCACACCTACCGGTTACAGCGCAGTAGGTAAACAACAAGTCTAGGCTAGTGAATCTCTGTGATGAGTCTGCCCGAAAATGTGTTTCAAGATCGCCCAAAATGTCCGGGATTCGGCTTTTGCATTCTACATTCGCCATTCATCATGTTTACTGTGGCGAGCAGTATTACCGATGATCGTGCATCGTGATTACCGATGAGCGACTGCTGTGAGACATAAGTTACCTAGTAACTTAAGTCTTACATAAGTCTTTCCTAGTAATTTTCTTAGCAATGTTAAAACGCACATCAACCGATCACTTTTTTAGCATTCATGTAAACACTACAGATTCACCAATCAGAATGAATTCAGTTAGATTGAAAAACAAAAGCTGTACATGTAAACAATGAATGCCGACTGCAGAAAGCAAACCGACGGCCGGACATGTCCGGGAAAAAGAGGACGGTAACCCCTAAAGTTACTACTCAGCTTTCTCCACAGAACAAGAGCCTGCTAGCTTAGCTTCCAAAAAAGATGGCTGACACTAATCCCAATCCTCCATAATGCATCTGTCTGCGTATGCAGTATCTTCGTTCTTATTTTCAAAAAGTTTCTGCCGGTGAAATCAAACACACTGGCACTGATCTGTGATAGGTCTGTTAGTTGGATCTAGTGCTTGTAGTCTTTCAAGAAATCCAACCCTCTTACACTTCCTCCTACAATGACGTAAAATGAAGATTTTTGCGTCATTGTAGGAGGAAGTTAAAAAGGTAAATAGCAGATTTCTCTCATCTCAGGGGAAAATTAGAGAGTGTTGCACGACCATTCAATAGTATAACTGGGTTTCTAACAAATTTGGAAATCTTAATGCAAATGGGTGGAGTGTCCCTTTAAGAACATGCACGGCGGCGGAGCGGAGGGGCAAAATGACAAATGTTTAGCTCTCCTTCTCTTAACACTACAAAGACAGTTCACTTATCAAAATAAACACATAACAGAATAAAGTCCAGTCCTGGGTGAACTACAACGGCACGCAAGTTTTTATTTATTTATTTTTTATCCAGCGTTATCGTGTGGTGTGATGCGAAGCACAAGAGAACAACAGAATTTGAAGCTGCTCGTTTAAAACAAGATCTTGCTAGCCTCTCAATCGTCCAATTTCAAAACGGTTTTCACAAGATGAATTTTGAGTTCGTAAGCTTTCGAATAATACCTAATTTATGATGATTATTAAAATATAAGAGTGCCAGTCGTCCCGCTGACAATGTCATTTGGCAAAACACAAAGTATCATTATTTATTTTGCAACAAAGAATGCAACATATAGGCTACAACTTACGAAAAAATAAAAAAGTAAATACATTGAATTATAAAATGAACTGAAGCGTATTAGCTGACTATATTGTTTTATAAGTATTACACAATTATAATAACTTCAACAACAACTTTGGAAGGAATTTTTGTTTTGTTTTTTGTTTTTGTCGAAGAAACCAGACTATGTCACTGAATTTATTATTCCAAAAACGTGTATTTTGCGTTGTGATCTTTGTCCCTTAACAGTTTCCGTTCAGTGACGTCATACATAAACAAGATGGCTACGTCCACAGGCATTAGCAAAGGTGCTGCGTTCACTAAGGCAGATTACCTTAAACGATATTTATCAAATGATGAAGCTGGCAAGAAGTCTAAAGAAAAGAAGGTTAAGAAGAAACGACCGAAACCCACGGGGAGAGGGTAAATATGATTGGACAGAACTAACAGAAAATGCTGATTTTAGCTCTCGGTATCTACAGTTATCACAACATAATGACATTGTGGTCTCAAATGCTTACAGAGTTGGCTAAATACACAGCAATTAGAAAATAGTTTGTCAAGTGCTCAAGCAACTAAATTGTCCTTATAAACTACAGGATGAAAATTGTTGACGATGACATTGATTGGAGGCAACTTGCTCGTAACGAAGAAGAAAATAAAGACGAAGAAGAGGATGATGAGGCGCCTGTGGTGTGTAGAAGCAAGCTTTACCTATTTTGAGCTTTTGTACACTTACACTTTCATAGCCAACATAAATACTATATTGAAGTCTGGTCTTTAGTGATCACAATTAGAAAAGTACTATGGTGCTACCTTGGTTTTTGAACATTGTGTCAAATGTGTTTTTTAGATTGCAGACGTGATAGATGAACGCCCAGATGAGATTAAGCAGCTCGAGGTATTTCGAACCAGCAAGTGGAAAGTGTTGGGCGGTAAGACTTTGACTTCTTGTGCTTGTGTTGGATTCATATGTCTGAGAAAACATCTGGGATTTTTTTTTTTTTTAAATTCTGGAAATGAACAGAACGGCTGTTGAAAACTCAATTTGTTATGCCCACCATCAGATTAAAGTGGAACAGACATGTATTATGAAATAGTAAATAATGTAAAACGTTAGCTAGTTGGGTGTTTTCATACACTACCGTTCAAAAGTTTGGGGATGGTAAGATTTTTACAATGTCTTTGAACAAAGTCTTTGATAGAAGAGACGGGTGTGCCCGTGTTGAAACCATGATATTTATTTTCTGGATTATTTTATGAATATAGAAAATTCAAAAGATAAGCATTTATTTGAAATGGAATACTTTTGTAAAAAAAAAATCTTTACTTTCACTTTTGATAAAATTAATGCATCTTTGCTGCATAAAAGTATTAATTTATTTACAAAAAATATATATATCTTACTGACCCTAAAGTTTGGAACGGTAGTGTCTGAATATATATATATAGATAAATGTTAGAAAACAAAAGTATATACACACACACTCACTCTAATTTGTGTCTTAGTAACAGAGCAAGATCTCCAAGAAACTCAGGACTCCCCATTGAATAGCAGGTAACTGTCCTTTCTTATTAAAATCATTTCTGCTTAGAGAGTATAATAAATGTTGCTTTGTTTAATTTGGACGCTGACAGAGTGCGTCATGACTCACCAGAGAGTTCAACTTTACCGAGGGGGCGGCATGATTCCCCTGACCTCTCGCCTAAGCGGCTTCGGCACGACTCACCGAATCTCTCACCTCTGAGAAGAGGTCGTCATGATTCGCCAGACCTTTCACTTAAGAGACACGTAACCGAGAACAAAAACAGATGGCACGACTCTTCGTCACCTTCACCTCCAAGAAAGAGCCTCAAAAGCTCACCCTCCAGAACCCAAAAACAGCATGATAAAGGTATAAAAATCCATCCACCAATCAGAAACCAAATGTACACAATGAATGTCATCAAAATAATTGAGCTTTTATTAATCTCTTCAGGGTCCACACACAGAAAAAAGACAAGTGCTGCTTCTTCAGGTGACCTTTCGCCGCCCAGAAGACGAGCCCGGACGGGCAGAGGCTCAGACTCCGATCAGTCCCCACCTCGCAGACGTCCTCGTGGGCGACGGGGCTCAGATTCTGATCAATCTCCACCCAGAAAGAGAGGCCAGGGTGGAAGAGGCTCAGATTCAGATCTCTCTCCTCCCAGGAAGAAGCCACAGGGAGGACGTGGATCAGACTCAGACCTGTCTCCACCACGGAGGACACACTCTCCTGATGCAGTAAGTTCAGGATTCATGTTTAAGGATGCTTTATATTAGTGCAGGGGTGCAAAACTCAGTTCCTGGAGGGCCACTGCCCTAAGAGCTTAGTTCCAACCCTGCTCCAACACACAGACCTGTTCTTTTCAAATACGCCCGAAGGACTTGATTAGTTCGATCAAGTGTATTTAATTATGGTTGAAGCTAAACTCTTCAGGAAGGAGTAAAGTGTAAACTCCATGAAGAAGTTTTGCACCCATGTCTTAAAAGTTTTCAACAGTAGGGGGCACTAACCTACTTTAAAGGAGGTACAGGATGATTTGTTAATTAATTAATTAATTTTCATGTAAATATTGTTTTTATTTAACTGAATTAAAATGCTAAAAATGTAAAGTGGAAAGGTTCTTGTAACTTCTGGTTATAACGTTACTGCTTAACTTTTTCATGGCCATTTTTCTCTAGCTCTGACCTTTTAAAATAAATGTTTTTCCGTTTGCCGTGCCTGTAAGAAACCCCCTTTGTGGATTAAATAAGCAGTAGCGTTCATAAAATAAATGAACTTTTCAGTGGATCTCACATGAAATATGCATTTTTTGTCTTCTTTTAGATTGAAGATGCAGTTTGGATCCTTATGTTGAGAATTTCACTGTTCTTCCTTACAGGCCCCTCGGATGCTATCTGGTGGAGCTGCAGGGCTCGTGTCTGTCGACGTTTTGAGGAAAGAACAGGAAGAAATTCGCCGAAAGGAAAAACGCAACAAGCCTCTTGAAGGTTTAATGAAAATCCGTTGATAATGTTGTGCAATAGAAAGAGTTTTTTATTTTATAACATTCATCGTCACATTGCTCTCTCAGAGGCATCCAGAAATGCAGAGACGATATTCCGAGACAAGTCAGGTAGAGTCCGTGACCTGGAGTCGGAGAGAATCAAGCTTAGCAAGGAAGCTGGAGAAAAGGCAGAGAAGGATGAAAAATATGCGCAATGGGGAAAAGGGTGAGGTCTATTAGTGGTGTTCAAATGCAGCTATTTTTTTGGTTTTTGGGTCTAGTGACTTTGACATCTGCGCTGTCCTTTTTCAGGCTTGCTCAGGGTGAAATGCAGCAGCAGAACTTAACCGATGCCATGCGGGAGGCTCAGAAACCACTAGCAAGACACATCGACGATGAAGACCTCGATCGGATGCTGAGGGAGCAAGAAAGGGACGGAGACCCGATGGCGGCTATGCTTCGCAAGAAGAAGGCCAAAAATGCTCAATTAAAAGGAATCAAAGGTGAAAATTAGGAATAATGTCCAAATTGGTGCTAGTGATCTTTGTAGTTAATGATTGGGATTGACTTTTTTTTGAAGTTTGTAAGTTTATAATCTTTCTAACCTGCAGAGATTTATCTGAAAACAAGCCCAGATCACAGTAGTAATTGTAATAATTTACATATGAATGTTTTTCACCAGAAAAACCTCGTTACAAAGGTCCGCCCCCTCCTCCGAATCGTTTTAACCTTGTTCCAGGGTATCGCTGGGATGGAGTTGACAGGTAAGAGGTTTAGATTGATGAATATTAGTTGGTTATATATAATTCACATTTCAAAATAGTACACATTTAGTTATTGATATTAAAAATGCATCCTGTGAGTGAATTAATAAAAGCTAAAATGGCTTGCCATTGCATGTTACCGTGATTTAAATGATAAAAGCAATAATTGATACTTGATGGTTACTGATGGATGTGCATCCATATTGACCAGTATGTCCAGCCAATCAACATTTTAAATGCAATATAGTTAATGTCAATTAATTGCTTTCCATCTTGATTTATTGCAGAGCTGTAACTAAACTGACTGTAAATCTCTTGGGTAGGATTAGGGGTGTGGAGTGTGTGCGTATTACATGCCAAAAAGTGCGTATTATGCACGCAAAAACTATGTTTGGTGTATAAATGGCATGAGAAATTCATGGTATAGATGACCATGATAGAGAGAGATGCACATCAACATAACTTTATACTGTTCTGTGCTGACATCAAACTTGTAGAGGAGAGAACGCAAGTCTGCCTGATCGCTGTTTTCGTGACCAGAAGGATAGTTCCGCTTAATTATCTCATCGATGTTGTAAACTTTAGTGTGCATTTAGGGAGGATCGGCTCTGTTTGTAAGTATCTTAATGTTAACTAAGTGAACAACTAAAATGGTTCAATTTACTTTTCCTATGATCCTTTAGGTCCAACGGTTTTGAGCAGAAGCGGTACAATAGGATTTCAGATAAGAAAGCCGTCCAGGAGATGGCGTACAAGTGGAGTGTGGAAGACATGTAGATGTCCATGGAGATCCAAATGTGTGTATAAAGATTCAAGATGTAAATTCATGACTTGTCTAGAATTAGGACAGTTCCTTCATGAACCAAAACCAAGACATTTTTTGTGTAGTTTTCAGCCCTACTATGTACAAGAAAAATACTTTCCTCATTAAATGATACTTTTTTAATAAAACTGTTTTGCATTGAACTTTATCAATGTCATTTCAAACCCCACATTTTTAATACAGCCGACTAGATGATGCCGGTCACATTAATAATTATACCCCAAATATTTGAATATATAAATCAAAAACACAAAATTAAAAGTAATGAAAGCTAGGCTGAATACAAATGCATGCTTTACGGTGATTTAAAGCACTAAGGATTCTCTCTGGCCTTCATCTGTTCTTTTGATTCGGGCAGGGGCTGGGCGGGCGTGCACAGAAACATCCCAGCCTGGGAAAGCCTCTTGCTGCACTGTTTTGTATTCGGCTCTATAGAAAAGAGATTTAATTTTGATTAATTTTACAATATTATTTTCAGTTCAGATTTGAATTAAAAAGAAAGTTCAGTGGTTGTATACTTGCCTCATTGAAGTGTTGATCGCCAGGTTGTCAGGATGAGGTACGACCTGATTTCTCCTAACATAGTTTCTCTTTGGGACCGGGAAGTCCTGTTGGTAAAGAGAACATCTCTGTGCTTGGACAGCCCAGTCATCTCTCGCTGGGACTTTCCCCTGCCACGCAATTGGAGCACCATCTTGGTTGTAAGAAAGGTAATCCTCCCTGTTAGTTGTGCTGAAGCTCCTGTCTCCTGCAATTATGTAGAGATAATAATGTTTGGCTCATATAGCTGCAAAATAGGTGTTCCAATTTGCCTGGAATGAGTTCACCTTAAGTTTACAATAGGTGTTTTATGGATTATATCTTTTCTATTTGATACTAATTTATTATTTTTCAGAATTTCAATGAGTATGCAACACAGGGTCTTGAAATATTTTAAAATGTACATTTATGTCCAGAGTGTCACACAATCCTTCAGAAATCATTCTTCTAATGCTGATTTGCTGCTCAAAAAAACATTGATTATCATCAGTGTTGAAAAAAAGTCGTCACATTTTTGGATTTTTGTTTATTAGAAAGGTCAAAAGAACAGAAGTGTAAAATTAGAAATATGTAAATAAATATTGTATCCATGGTGAATAAAAGTATTAGTTTTTTGTCTCTCCCAGACTTTTGAATGGTGTTTATAAATATTTTTCTTTAAAATGTATCTTTATTTTTTCCATATGTCATTGCCATGTCATTTAATAACCTACTGAAGTTCAGTGAAATAAGTCAAGATACTATGCAAACCAATTTTTGGCTTATAGGTTGGTTAAGTTTACAATTGATGGTTTGTTGCTTCTCTAGTAGGTATTTAACTGATCATTTTCCCCAAATTATATGATTTTCATACCGTCTAGAGTTAGGTTGCACTGTTGGATCTTCTTCGGCTCTACCTTTGGGCATGTTTTGGGTCCAAATTCTCTTTCTGTTGTGGTAACCATCTTTTCCCGCTTATCAGGGTAGAGCAACAAGCCTGAAAAGAAGATCTGACAGCATTTGTTTTCTTCTAAGTGGCACTTACTTCTGTTGTCTAGCATGTGAATGACCTGCCATTTCCTTATACATCTGACGGAATAAAAAACAACAACATTTTAATGAAAAATGTATTGTTCCACGTGTTACCTGCTAATGAAGGAAGTTCTCCCAGCATTGGAAAGGCTTGTGGGTGTTTCGACGCTATTTGACCATTTTTGAGAAGCAATAAATCTGTTCTTCGCAGACGTCCCAATGGGATTCTGAGAGATGGTTTCTGCTGTTTGCTGATTTTCTTTTCATGAGAGGTCATCTTTGAGTTACTATCAAGTGAAATGTCAATGCACATAAAAATATTATACATTGTTGTTGGTTTAAATGAATGAAGCAGATTTCAATGATCAAACTTTCATATATTTTAATCCTGCTTTAAATTCTCAGAGACTTGCTAATAAGAAACTTGTCTACAGATCTACACAACATTAAAACATTCTCTCTCTCTCTCTTTCTCTCTCTCTCTCTCTCTATATATATATATATACACACACATATATATATATATATATATATATAATCAAATTAGTTATTGGCCGATTTCAATGCCTTTTGAAGAGTTTAAAATTAATTTACCTTGTTTACTTACAATTATAAGTATTGATTTGAAACTCACCTCATGCATGACACATTTTCTTTGCATAAATTTGATTCCTGAACAGCTTAGCTTCTGATTTTTGTCACATTCTTGCAGCACAGTGGCATGTTTGGAAAGCGCTGTTACACTGAGTTAGTGGCTGTTTCCATGGATGCTCTATTCTTTAGAAAGCCTGAAGGTTGATGGACTCAGCTCAAGAACAATGAGTGTTCTGTAATAAATACCGTACTAGACTGACGTGACCCTGTGCTTATGCTCAGCATGAGACTTAGTTTAAGTAAATTTGAATAAAACCTGTTGGTTTCAGTGTCTTCATATTTATGCTTAAAAACTGCTCAATTTCTTAATACATAATTCCCCTTATGTTTTTGTTTGGCTTGATTTTTTATTTTTCTGTATCATTGAAAAATAACCATGAACTAAGATTCCTTAGAAAGTTCTGGGAAGTCAAAATCGTTAGCTGGGTATAGTTAAAGTCATATACGCATTGATATACAAAAGATAGATTTTTTTTAAATGTTTTTTAAAGCAGTTACTTGTGCTCACCAAGGCTGCATTTATTTGATAAAAAATACAGTAAAAACAGTAATATTATGGAATATTGATACAATTTAAAATAAATGTTTTCTATTTCCATATATTTAAAAAAATATATATAACGTGTGTTGGCTAAGCTGAATCATGACTCCAGTCTTTATGTCTGCAGAAATCATTCTAATAGGCTAATAATAACATTTCTTATTATTATCATCATATTAAAACCAGTTTTACATGTTGTTATGCGTGATACTTTTTTTTAGGTTTCTTCGGTGAATAAAAAGCTAAAAAGAACATGTTTTTTTAAATAGATTTTTTATAACATTATAAATGTCTTTACTTTTTTGGGATATATGTTATGCCTCCTTGCTGGATAGAAGTATTCTTTTTTTTTTTTTACATCTTACTGACCCCAAACTTCTTTCTTCTTTCTATTTTTATTTTTATTTTCCTGCCCTCTAAATTTTAAGATCAATAAGTTATGACAACATATGTATTTACATTGCTTTAACACATCAAAACAAGTTTTCAGCTTTTTTACAAGTTATCAGATTTAACTCATTTTTCAAGTCAGTTTACTTTAAGTTGACAAGACTTAAACATCCAAGTTGATTTAACTTAAAAATTTAAGGCAGCAACTTTTTTTTTTTTTTTTTTTTTACAGTTCTGCCAAATAATTATGAACGTAAATAAATTTGCAGTAAAATAAGTCAGGAAACAACAATATGGTTTATAGCTTTAATCATTGGATATTCCCAAGCAATAGTTACATTTTATGATTTGAGGAAGAGTAAATCCAAGAGTGGCTGTTCAATTCGGCAAGAGCAAGAAGCCTGTAAAGGTGCAGTCAGTGTCTCTACTGAAGATAGAGCTTACTGCAGTGGCCTGTATAGACACTTTATCATCCTTTTTCAATGGCAGTAGTACCGATCCTGCAGTTACCATTATGATACCAGGTGAATCACAGAACCTGACTTTCTCTTCCTCCCCTACCTGAATCTTTAGGCAGGCAGACGAGCTAGACGAAATGTGGTAGCTGATGTAATACATGCCAGCTATTTTCACCGTGAAGAAACCCTCCTTATCCAAAGCATCCTCTTCCCCGGAGATCAGAGGGATGTCAAAGATGATTACGTTGTCCGGAATAACTCTCTGTGCCCTAGGACTTTTTTTGTAAGAGAAAACAAAATGCTGGTTTGGAGCATCTACCCCTGTAAAAACTCCCCTCTCTCCCTTCTTTCCAGATGCACCTGGTAAACCTTGTAGTCCCTCATCCCCTTTCTGACCAGGCCTGCCAGGGAATCCATGCAATCCAGGCTCCCCTTTTGGCCCAAACATCGGCACTGCATTGTCACCTGCAAACATGCAACGGTAGTGTGACTGTGTGAGTTGAAATGCAGACTTTTTATTTATTTTATTCGATTTTTAGCCCTTATTTAGGACAGTCAAGGACTTTTGTGACTTTCAAACAGCAGTATTTTCACAGAGAAAATAAGCGCTATCACTTCACCTGGATCTCCTTTTTCTCCTTTGGGGCCATCCTTCCCATCGGCACCAGGAACTCCGGGAATACCTGGTCTTCCAGGGAAACCCCTGTGCCCATCACATGTATCTGACTCAGAGGAAGCCACCAGCAACAACATAATAGTAAGTTGCGGCACTGCATGTGCAGACATGAAGATAAACGTCTGTTTTAAAACAAACAAAATCCCTAAATGAACAGCAGCGAAATTGTTGGAAAATTCAATTCTCAAACTGAAACGTATAATACAGTGTCTGTTGAAACGAGCACAATTTACAATTTCAATAGTCAAATTCTGCATTACAGTTAGACTTTTTGCAAATAAAAGCAAATCACATATGTATTACATCATAACAAGAAGACTTTTTTCTTACCATCTTATCTTTCAAAACAATCGTTGGAAATACAGACAATAGCCTTAAAGAAGAGAGTTACATTGAATGTCTGTAGAGTATGAAGAGCTCTGGTTTGATTTCCCAATTTCAGAGAAGATCAGTGTTGCACAATAAAGGGAAGTAACAAAACACACGTTCATCAGAATCTGGATTTATAAACCTTGGATTACTTTTTTTCCATTATTGACATTTAATTTTGCCAAAGTTTGCAAGTTCCATATCCCTTTTCTGAGAAAAAGGAAGCAGAGAAATTAAAAAGTTTATAACAGATCAAACCATTCTGGTTGCAAAGTTATTCGTATTGATATTGATGTTGATATCAATATCAACATCAACTGTTTTCAACAATAAATAACAATAAATATTAGACTATCAAAATTGTTTTTTGAAGGATCATGTGACATTGAAGACTTGGAGGCTGCAGACAATTTAACTTTGTCATCACAGGAATAAATAATTTTTTAAAAATATATATAAAAACAGTTATTTCAATTTGTTAAAATATTTATCACTAAAAATGTTTACTGTATTTTTATTCAAATAAATGCAGCCTTCATGAGCATTATGTATAGCCTTTATGACCTTCACCTCACATTAGTTATATACTGTATACTAATATATATATATATATATAATGTATATATATATATAAATATTATGATAGATTATATGTAGCTTACATAACTCCAAGCATGTGCATTGTTGTCATTCAGATAATGTTTAGAATAGTTTGCTAAAATTACTTATGTACAATCATTTCCAATTCATATTGTCAGGATTTGCTAAATCTTCAATTGGATTGGTTGTGTCAAATCCAAACATTTGGTATGATTAAACCTGAGACAAACAATTTACTGAAGCATAATTTTATTTTATTTGAGATGATTTCAAAATGTAACAGTGTGCATTTTTCTTATATGAGCAAAACATACAACGTGTTTAACAAGAATGTCTTAATGTTCAGCTTTTTTCAAAACAATCAATCAGTGTGCATGAATCAGGAAACCCGAGAAAACACTGTCGCCTTTCCTCCCTTCAGCAAACAGGCCATTATAGCTATTTGTCACCAGCCAGACTTTCTCATTCTCTTGCAGATAAACAGCTAGTCCACCAGAGCTCACTTGCTGGCTGGTCTTTTGCATGTGATCACAGAAACTACCTAGCTTCTTATCATCATGCATTAGGATTACACAAAGACTTTTTTCTCTGGACGATGCATGAAACACAAAATAATAAGTGCCAGGAATTTTACATACAAATTTGCTTTCTTCAGCACTGAAATGGCCGTTGACATTGGTGATAATAGTACTGAAGCGTATCACAGCATTGGGCTCAGGAAACGTTCTTGTGGCACGGGACACGCTGAATGCAGACTGCAGGGGAGATCTGGAACCTTCTGTACTGCCTGGGTCCCCTGGCTCTCCTGGGGGGCCGAGTGGTCCCCTTATGCCGGAATCCCCCTTAAGACCTCTTTTTCCAATCTTTCCTTTAATTCCAGGCTCCCCCTTTTCTCCTTTTTGTATTGCTTCACCAGGTTTGAGAGGAATCCCTGTTAAGACACACACCACATCGTACCTCTTCAAGACACCTGTTGGCATTTTTAACCCTTACAGAACATATAATTTAGTCCTTTTTATGAACATGTTTTTATTTTTGTGTCCACTTAAACCCCTAAATATTCCCTCAATGTTGGTCAATGCAAGTAATTAAGGAATTTGATCTGAGCTTTGTGGAAAATAAAATTGTCATTACACTCTAAAAAATGCTGGGTTGTTTTAACCCAATTTTGGGTAAAATATGGACAAACCCAGCCATTTCATTTTTAACCCAATGGCTGGGTTTGTCCATATTTTACCCAAAATTGGGTTAAAACAACCCAGCATTTTTTTTAGAGTGGATACATCACACACACACAAAATTATGTACACAGACTATTCAGTCTTTTTTTTAAGGTATAGCATAAATACAATCCAATACATTGCCTTCTCTCAAAAAAAAAAAAATGCTGGGTTGTTTTAACCCAAATTTGGGTAAAATATGGACAAACCCAAATGTTGGGTTAAAAATGTAACTTCAACTTTCACTTTCAACTGTATATTTTTTAATTGCATTTTTAACCCAACATTTGGGTTTGTCCATATTTTACGCAAATTTGGGTTAAAACAATCCAGCATTTTTTTTTTGAGTTAAATAGGCTATATATTTTTAAATAGGCTTATAGGCTATGACAAAAAAAAGCATAAAGTGTTTATTTGCATAGTGATTGATTCATTAAAAGAACCACCTCATTAGAGTAATTTGGCAATTGCGTTACACTGGATCCACTAAAATGAACCGGCTCAAAAGAGTCTGTTCGGGATTCAAACTCGCTCGAAAACAGTAACTGAACCGAATGTCATTCGGTTTAGGTATTTTTTAAATATAGAGCAGGTTCTGAATAAGAACCGGCTCTCGGTAACCATAAACAAAAGCACTTTGACTGTTTTATTTTACATTTAAAAAAAGAAATAAAACAGAAGAGTCAGTCTTACCAGGATCTCCTCTCACTCCCTTCACCCCATCTCTTCCATCACGACCAGGAAATCCAGGAATACCTGGCAAACCAGGCATCGCTCCAGCAGGACAAGTGTCCGTAGAGACCAAATGGAGGCAGAGAGAACATGCTAAAAGTGTCCCAAAAATGATGTGACCACCAAACATGTTTACTGTGGTGCCTTGAACCTTGAACGTCTTGAAAGTCTGAGCTCAAAAATCTTATAGCACAAGAAGAAGCCAATGAAATGACAATCACAGTTCCCCTTTTGCACTGCACGTGCACCCATCCAAGGACCTCTCACAAAACTGTAGCCTAGAAACAAAAACTTATTCTAAATTTTTTTAAATTGCTGCAAAACTGATTTTTCTTTTAACAAACAATTTTGATTTCCATTAGATAGATCAAAATATAGTGACAAGTAATAATTTTCTATAGGCATGTTCTTTTGCTTTTATTTAGCATTTGTGAGACATTTATCAAAGACAACAAAGCATTTTTTTTAAACAAAACACACAAATACACGATTGTAATACAGCGTACAGCAAAG